ACACCCAAAACCACGGTGCCCTAACCAAACACAGCTGCCTCCCTTTGCGGCTGCACACCACGCAGGACCTGCACATGGCTCTTGACCAGCAAGACAACTAATGAGAGAGCAAGACAATCCCGCTCTCGCCACTTACCCGCCCTGTGACCTCGTGCAGGTTAATTATATCTCTGCCTCATCAGTTTCCACATCTATAAGTCAAATCCAATGGCATCAAATTTGTAGAGATAGTATGAGGACTAGATGACATATTTTATATATAATATGTCATCATTACCAACACTTAGACTTATTAAGTATTACCACGGGCTAAGTAACTTACATGCAAAATAATCAGTGCCTCGTAAAAATAACTGGAAGGAAAATAGCTGTTACGTATTGTATATTTTCCATGTGCCAGACAGTGTTCCAAGCATTTTATGTGGGTTAAAGCATCTAATCTTCAAAACAGCCTTAGGAGGTTGGCGCTCTTACTAGCACCCTCTCACACATGAGAAAACTGAGGCTCAAAACCGGTGCTAACTTCCCCAGGGTTGCAGGGTAAGCAGTTGACCAGTGTGGGCTTTGAACCCAGGCAGTCTGACTCAAGAATCTTTATACTTAGTCAGCTCTCCTGCTTGTTGTAATAGCTGCTCAGTAAGAGGCTGTTATGGTTTTATAATTAATCTTGTTTGCCCTATATATAAGATGGTCACCTCTAGCTCTATTTATACTCAATTTATCTCCAAAAAAAGATTTCCTCTGCCCCCAAAGACCCATACCCCCCCAATATTCACTCCCTTGAATCCAGGCTGGACTTTGGCCCATAGAATATGGCGGAAGGGACTCCGTCTGACATCCAGAGCTAAGACATAAGAAGTCATACAGCTTCCTTTTGGTCTGAAGATGCTGTCATGCTGCCAGAAGCCTGGGCCACATGGACAGGGCACGTGTAGGCAGTCTGCCCGGGAGCCTCAGCTGAACTCCCAGCAGTCTGCCAGCTGTGGGCGTGAGTCATCTCGGATGTCCAGTCCAGTCAAGCCCTCAGAGGAGCCCAGACCTGGCCGACTTCAGAGACCCCCCAGCTGTGCACCCGTGAACCTACAGAATCCTGAGAGTTGATAACAAAGTGTTGTTTTGAGCCACTAAGTCCTGGGGTGAGTCTGTTGGCAGTAATGGATCACCAGAATGCCCCCTTTGCTCTGCAGCCCCGTGTGAAGGTTCCAGGATGCCTTAAAACTAAGCCCCAATTATCTAGACTTGACCTACTACTTAATTTTACAGGTAAACACCTCTTTGAAGTAACAATAAAAATAATTAACACTTATTGACCTTGTGTATATTATTAAACTCTCTGTGCCTCAATTCCTTTACCTGTAAAATAGACCTAGTAAGGCAGCAAAAATACCTACTTCCTAAGGTTGCATCGAGGAGGAAATGAGCTAATTCATCTAAGGGGCTTTGAACAGTTCCTGGCTTTTAGAAAACATATATAAAGTGATAGCACTCTCTTTCTCTACCCCCAACCCCTCTCTTAATGGAGCAAGGCATTTTGTTGGTTTTTAAAAATTGTTCGATCTTCGTCCTCATATTGAACCCAAAGGCAAGTGTTATTAACCCTTATTGTCAGGGAGGTGCAGGGACTTCCAGAGAGCCTCATGGTGAATGATGGAGCCATGATGTGGACCCCAGTCCGTGTGGGGTTAAAGCCCTGTGCCCTGTCCCTCTCCCACCCCTGCCTCAACAGCGCCACCCCCCGCGATGCACGCAAGCATCCTGGACACGTGGGAGCGATGGCATCTGCTTGGTGGACTCCTCTCCCCTGGAGCTGGGCTCACAGACTAATTACAGCAGAGCAGTGGCCTCATTTGCAAACTCTAGCTCGCTCAGCTCAGGTGGCCCAAGGTCCCCTGTGTTAGCACCTTTGTGTGACACCGCTCCGTGGCGAGGAGGTGCCCTGCCTGCTGGTGTGAGAAACAATCATTAAAGGCTCTGATTCGGATGTCAGGAAGCCGCTCACAGCCAGCAAGGAGGTTCAGCTCTCCTGGGAAGGCTTCAGAGGAATACACGCGGTGCCGAGTTCCCGTGCCTGGCACCCCCCAGTACCTGGCATTCAATAGTTGTTAAGTGAACATAATTGACTGACTTGCCCAGGTGGAATTCTAGACATCCTCTCCAGGTGAGTAGAGGAGGGATGCTGTGATTAGGGCAAGTTTTCTCATCTCGGGAGGAGAGACGGCAACACTGTGAGCTGTGTTTGAAGGTGCCGGTGGCGGAGGGACATTTCTGGCCTGACAGCTCGAGCGGGAAGAGATGGGGACATCTGCTCTCGGAACAGGCAGGTGATTTGCTGAAGGTCACACAGCTCGCTGATGGGAAGGCGGGATCTCGATCTAGCCCCCTGATTCTGTGGGGTGTTCCTCTCTTTCCTCCCCTTCACTCTTGGTGGAGAGAAAGGGACTTTGAAGATGTAACTAAGTTAAAATTAGGTCATTGAAGGGAGCCTCAACCCAGTAGGACTGGTGTCTTTCTAAGAAGAGACTGGGACACAGAGGGAATGTCACGTGAGGACACAGGGAGAAGGTGGCCATGTACAACCACAGAGAGAGGACAGAAGAAACCAGCTCTGCTGACATATCAGTCTCAGACTTCCAGCCTCCAGAACTATGAGAAAATACATTTCTGGTGTCTAAACCACTCAGTCTGTGGCACTTTTCTACGACAGCCCTGTCAAGCTAATTTTATGTATACATGGAGCTTTTCATGATTGATACCAGAACCCTTCCTCTGAACGACATCCTTCACAGCATGGTTTATTGTGCTTGGCTCCGAACCCCCCCCCGCCCTCCCCCGCCCCCGTGTCCAAGGCAGGTCACGTGACAGAAGCCTACCTGAAATCTCCTTTAGGCCCTTGTTCACCATGGTGATTTGGGCACCAGCTGCAGGTGAGGAGGAAGCCATTTTGTGACTGGACCCCTTTCCTAGTTCCTGCTCTTGAAGCACTGCAACACGTGAGCAACGGGCACAGCAAATTCTATTTGGTTTATAAAGTAAATGATCCCAAACTAGTGCTAAGTGATGGGTTCAGAGTTGGAAGGAATGGGAAAAACAGATGAGCATAGACAAGTGTATAAGGAGATTTCATAGTGGAGAAATAGGGAAGACGGGCAGGGGTTTTTAAAGTACCGTGGACTTGGGGCGCCTGGGTGGCTCAGCGGGTTAAAGCCTCTGCCTTCGGCTCAGGTCATGATCTCAGGGTCCTGGGATCAAGCCCCTTCTCCGGTTCTCTGCTCAGCAGGAAGCCTGCTTCCCACGCCCCCCACCTGCCTCTCTGCCTACTTGTGATCTCTGACTGTCAAATAAATAAATAAATCTTTAAAAAAAAAAGGTAACGTGGACTTAAAATAAGGAGCCTTCTGTATTGGCTGGTGCAATCAGGAAAGACTCCATGGAGGAGGTGGCATTTGATCTGGGTCTGAACAAATAAGAGGAAAAGGAGCAGGAGCACAGAGGTGGCTGGGATGAGTGTAGTGGTCTTTAAACTCTGAGTGCCTGTAGAGCAGGATAATGAGGAGCACAGTACCTAGAATCAGGGAACCGGGGGATCTGGTCTCTTCCTCTTATGGCAGGGATGCCAAACCTCAGCACCCCGACTTCTTGGAGAAGGTAAGTCTTTGTTGCAGGGACTGCCCTTGTGCAGGAGCATGTCCACATTCATTATATCCCTGAACACAAAATTCCTGAAGACAAAAATGTCTTCGGACCTTTCTAACTCTTCCCTGTAGTCGTCTCCAGCTGGGGACTGCTGATGTGCACTGCAGTTCTGGACCAGTCACTTGACCTCTCTGAGCTTGTCCTTCGATCTGCACAAGGGGCATTAACAACCGTGTGTATAAACATGTGGCTGACAGTGAACTTGTTAAGGAAATGTGACTTAGGCTTACTCTTTTGTTTATTTTTTTAAAATGTTTATTTATTTGAGAGAAAGAGAGCGAGCAGGGGAAGGGGCAGAGGGAGAGACTCCTGCTGAGGGCAAAGCCCAACCCAGGCCTTTATCTCAGGAGCCAGGAGTCAGGACCTGAGCTGAAACTGGTAGTCAGCCGCTTAACTGACCGAGCCACCCAGGCGCCCCTTAGCCTTACTCTTTTACGGAGCGGACCTCTTCTCTCCGAATAAAGTTGAACCCAAAACCCCCACGTGTGGAATGAATAAAGGCACAGCTCTGCTGGCTGAGGCGGAGTACGGGGCCCCCTTGTCTGCCTACTGCGGGGCTGGTGACCCCTTTGTGGGGCTTCGAGAGGAAAGGCCCAGAGATAGCTCATACATGCCCTGTGAAAACGGAGTCTGAAAGGCCTGGGTTTGAATCCAGGCTCCTTCCTGCTGGGTTCCAGAGACAGGGAGATCTGGGAAGACCCCCAGGGAGCTTTGGTCCTGTCAGCCCAGAGGCAGGCAAGAGAGGCATCCAGGCATTTAAGGAGGCTCTCACTCTCAGGTGAGAACCTTGCACTCCCATGACCCAGCCAGGGAGTGCCTCCTTAAATGGTTCCTGGGCTGTGCCTTGTCTGCGTCTACTGACTCCAGGCCCCCATCAAAGGCCCTCCAAAGGTAGCTGACCCATTAGTTAACCAGTTTCTTCACCATGGAAGATAGGGATGCTCAAATCTGCTTTGTCAAGTAATTTTAAAGTTAAATAGATAATACACTGTGAGCACCCAGAAGAAGGTCACCTAGCAATCACGGTTCTTGTCGGTTCCTTTCCACAGTCCAAGGCATCAGACCGGAGGCAGAGGCTGGAAGTTTGGGGCACATTTGGGAAACAGTGAGAAATCCAAGGAGAGCCCGAACAGAGAAGCAGAGAAGTCAGAGAGGATCCAGGAAACAGCTGGTCTGGGCCACACAATGCCTGGCTGGCCAGCTGTAAGGGCATCTCCTGCTGGGCACTCCCGGCAGGGGATGGGGAACAGGAGGAAGCTAGCCACGGGTCTGAGCCTGCAGATGGGGCAGGCGGACGCCGCACTTACCTCTCCCGAGGCAGCTGGTGGTTGGGATTGTGACGGCAGCGGACGCTGAGACCGAAGAGCTTACGGGCTGTGCGCTGGATCTTCTGCCTCTGGGCCTCGGTGGCGCTCTGCAGGAGCTTGTACCGGTTCTGCAGGTCCCAGTCGTTGCCCCAGTGCTGATGGATGCTCCCGATGGTCAGGAAGTGGTTGCTGGGGAGACGCTTCATGAAGGATTTAAACTCATCTAGCAAGAGAAAAAGGCCAAGAGAGAAGTGCTGAGTGCCGGGCAGCCCCCCTCTGAAGTTGCCTCCAATGCTTAGTCCCACTTATGAACACAAATAAAACTCCCTCCTCTGGGGCCCAGGAATGCTGCTGCTGCTCCAGCCCTCTCTGTTCTGACCACACCATGCAAGGGCCTCTCCACCTTCATAGAAGGTCCTTTCCCTTTGCTCACAAGGGAGTGGGTCCCCATGGAAAAAAGGGTTGCCCAGACTACGGTCATCGGAATGCCAACTTGATAATGATAGTCACATCTCATTTGTCCTTCTAGTTACTTAGCATTTTTTTTTTTTCAAATCAATTAAACCACCTTTTTTTTTTTTTTTTTTTTTTTTTTTTTTTTTGGCATTGGAAAACCTCCATCACGTGCTTTCAATAGAATGGGAGCGCTAAAGCCGGACTAATTGGACATCATAAAAAAATAAAGTTAAAAAGAATAAAGTGGGAAACACAAATTTGACGAAAACCATTTTAACAGATCCTGGGCCGATACTCTTGCCAGCTAAATGCTTGAACCCCTGCACCTGCTCTCGCTGAGACGCACAGGAAGGTCATGAGTGGTAGACAGGTGCTAAACTACATTAGCACCAACTCAAAAGTTCTCTTTGGTGTCATCCGCAGGGCGGAGGGAGAATGGAGATGGGTCAAGCTCCCCACTTTGTGATCCAGTCCCGCTGGAGGTTGCTTATGTACCCTTTCACGTCCCGTCCCATTTTGGGGATACCCCAGCTGAAGAGATGGGGCAAATCTTTTGTCTCCGGGGTAAGTTTTCTGCCTCAGGGTGTGTGGGGTCTGTGTTTCATAGTTTCAGTGTTTGCTACAACTTGACACGGCCTCAGAGACTCCCTAGGCTAGCTTTCTGGTTCTGCACAGAGGGAAACTGAGGCCCAGAGTGGGGAAATTATTTTCTGAAGGTAGAACAGCCTGAGAATGACAAGAAGCAAGACTCAAATCTGAGCTGTTGTTTTTTTTAATATAATATTCACCCCTGCCATCCCAACCCCCCACTATTGGGGAAAAAATTAAGAGGTTGGTCATACTACAGGGGAAAAAAAACGCTAAATGCTTAGGGATCGATCTATCTATCTATCTTTGCATCTTAGTACTTTCACTTCATGTTATAAAACCTACAAGGAAATTTCAGATCCATTAGGCATTCATTTTATTTTTAAAAATGCCTACATAGCTTTCAATAAGCACCATGCTCAGTCTGAAACACCTAACCCATATAAATGATTTTACACCTAACCCATATAAGCACTTTTAGTGCCTCCTTTTACAGAAACTAGGACACAGAGAAGTCAGTTAACTTCCCAAGGTCACACAGCCGTAAATGGTAGAGTTAGAACTCTGGCCAGGCTCTGAATTGTATGCCCTTCCTCAGCACTATTCACTTACTCTCGACACATAAGGAGGACCAGTGGATTGGGAGAAAAACAAGTAAATAAAAGGTGCTCAGAAAAGGAATCTCGGACTCCCACCAAACTTCCGGCATGCCATTACTGACAGTCGGACATGCCGGAGACCAAACTGCATCTCGTCCCCTGGGCAGCTGTACGACCACCATGCTTTCAATACCTCAGTTTCCCCATCTGTCAAACAGGTATCCCGGCACCCCATGCAAATCTGGAGAGAGTGACATCAGACTGTCTCTGTCTCAACACATCTTGATGTACAGAAAGTGTTCAGGGGTGTGTGGCAGTGTAGGACTGGAAGGATATCGTACGGCTGGGCTGACTGATTTGTTCAGGGAGCTGGCTGGAGGCAGGGGGCTGGCCCGAAGGACTCTGTGCTCTTTGGCTGCCCCTGTGTAAGATATGCCACCCTCCTGTGGAAGGCTATGTTGACCTCGAAGGACATAACAGCCATTTCAAAGAACCTGAATCTGGGTCAGATAGGGGTATATAATTTAAAAGTTAAAATGATTTGATTTTCTTGACTCAAAGTAGAACGCTTCCCTCCCAGTAAAGGAGGTGTAGACAGACCCCCTTTGGGGTGTGTAAACTAGATTGGTTCTATCTGACCACCAGCACTCTGGCCACGAAGGAATCATTGGCTTTTCCCTTTTGGCTGGTCATTAATCCCTCCATAGTGCCTGGTTGGCTGGGGCACTAAGGCCGTTGCCTGAAATGAAAAGGAGGAAAATCCACACGCACAAGCCACATACACATGTGGAGATGGGTGAGCTTGTCTTAATGCATAAAACCATTCCAAATGGATAAGTACAGGATATCTGGAGCGAGTGTGTGCTCTTGTGGAGAGAAAGTGTGCCACGGAAATCATTTCTGTGGCCTATTCAACTACTCTGAGACTTCTCAGCTGTGTCTCCTGACCCACTCCCCGCAGCCAACCCACTGAAAGTGGTTTCTCTTCCTTGGGAATAAGATTAGATACTAAGGACCTTTCCTGAGTTGCACACAGCAGACGTTCCCCTCTGTTTTTTAGCAATCGGCGGAATCTCTGCAAAAAACATTTTATCAAATGCTTCTTTCGTTTGAGGCCAAATAATGGTCATCAACATTTCCATCACGAGCCTCTCTTCTCTGAATCCCTGGGACTTTTTAAATGGACTGATGGGTGCAGGTTCCTAGGGCAGCCCCGGCTCCATGTGAGCTGCAGGAAAGTGGGCTCACATGCATCGTGGGCTCCACACGCTGGCTGGGGGCTGAGTTCATGAAAACCAGCGGTTTTCTAACACAGCTCGGTATGGCTCAGCTTTCATCTGGGGTGCCCAGCGGCTCCAAGGTAGGATTTTGTCTGGTCAAAGGCTTTCTCTGTGAAACGTTTAAATGAATTCAAATATGAAAACCACAAACATGTCCTCTCAATTATCAGATGAGGGAACTGAGGCCTCGGGGGTTAAAGAAGAATTAATAAAGTTCCAGAAGCTCTTACAGGCGCTGGATTTGGAATCAGGGATTCCATCACCGACTCTGTCATTTGCTAACGATGGGCCCCTGGATAAGATACTGGGTCTTGGTACCCTCCATCCTCTAGGATGCAGGAATATTACTACTCGCTATAATGCAGTCATTGTGATCAATTTAAGGAATATTAAGTTTAAAAAAAAAACTATAATGCATATGTCCATTTATTTAGCTAGCAGATATCTGAGCTGGTGTTAAATGCCAAGTATTTACTTGGCATCTCTTCGTGGAAGTCTCAAGGCTTCCCAAGCTTTTCATGTCCAATACTGAGCACACAGTCTTCTGTCCCAAACCTCCCAAGGTGTTCTAGCTCAGTGAATGGTACCAGCGTCCATCAAATTGTCTAACTAACATACCTAAAAAAAAGTTCTTGAATCTCAACACCCAACTCTTCAACTCACAGAACCAGTGTAGCATCAAAGCCTAACTATTTCAGCACCTCTGCACGTTCCCCATTTTTCCCACCTATACCATCGTGCTAACCATGTCACTGTCTTCTCCTTCCTAGGCACCCTGGGATGGCCTCTCACTGGCTGTCCTGCACTCACGTACTGATTTCTGCATCTCAGATGCTCTCCCCTAACTCCCCTCTCCTGATCCGCCAAACTGGCTTGGCCACGTCAGCCTCCCCTTGCACGGATTCACTCCTTCTTCACACGCCTGATTAAAATGTCGTAACTACTTGTACGGTCACATGATTCATGTCTGGCTTTCACATTCACTAGAAGCTCCATGGAGGCACAGCTCCAACTTTGCCCCTCACCCACTTTATGGCCCCGGGAGACTGACTTTCCTCCCCTGAAATTCATGACCACGAATTTTCTTAACCTCAAAAAGCCAGAAATAGTACCTGAAAAGTCACTTGAGCTTTGACAAGTTGTGGATTCTTTGGATATCCATATCTGTATCGCTCTTTACCTACATGTGCATGTATGAAAATCTACATACATATACCTATTTACACACACAGGTGTGTTATTTATTTAGATAAACACACACACATACACACTCAGGAATCAATACAGATATTTTGACTCTCCATTCTCCAGAAGCTTCTCTGTGTTATGGGGCATTACTCTCTCTATCTTCTGGGTACCGTAGAGACAATACATCTTAGGACCACAAACTCAATTACATGATTCATGATTCCATTGAATGGACTGAGTACCTCCTCCATGACAGCTACTTACATGGGGCTCCAGTCCCTCCCAAGTGAAAGAGTTGGGAGTCACTGACTATTCCCTTACAGTGGGTCCTAATTCCATTTAGACCGTTTTCTTTCCTAATCTTGGCTCAGCACCATTGACATAGTACTACTAGATTCTCTACCTGAATTCTCCAGGTCCTTATAAGCTTCGGCCCAAGACTTGGCCATGTTGGCCAGCGTGTACTCCATGATCTGGATGTCGGTGATGGGGCAGTTGCATTGTGGGAACTCCTCCGCGCACTGACATCTACACTGGCTGTTCTGACACACGTACTCCCCCTCACCATTGCACATGATGTAGCTCAAGGCCGACTGGACAAACTTCTCTTGCAGATACTGAGGGAAGATGATCTGAAGACCTGTTTGAGAATAGCAAGAGAGGGAAAAAAGAAAGGTTAAAGAAGGTGTTTCATTAACAGTTTTGAAAGGTGATGCGTAGGAATCCGAAGCTGCTAGCCTTCTCCCGTGTACTGTAACCAAAACAGTTCTGGGTCTGCCTGGATCCAGACAGGGCCCCACTGGCGAGGCCTCCAGTTGCAATGCTCCTACTCAGACTTCTCCAAGCCATGACCTTGGCCACCCCGAAAGGCATACTTTTTTTTTTTTTTTAAAGATTTTATTTATTTATTTGACAGAGAGAGATCACAAGTAGACAGAGAGGCAGGCAGAGAGAAAGAGGGAAGCAGGCTCCCCGCTGAGCAGAGAGCCCAATGCGGGGCTCGATTCCAGGACCCTGAAATCAAGACCTGAGCCGAAGGTAGAGGCTTAACCCACTGAGCCACCCAGGTGCCCCTGAAAGGCATACTTTATTCTGCTACATTAGGACTGAGGCCAGAGCTGAATGTGGCCTACACCTTTTCCAATTGGGGACAAAACCCTTAGTGAAATCGCACGATCATTGTTTATTTATTTACTTATTTATTTTCTTATTTCCTTCATTCCTTTTGTCCCTTTCTTCAAATATTTATGAACTCTATTTATGAAGCACAGGTCCTGAACTAGGCACTAGGTCTATAGAGATAAAAAAGACATGATCCTTGCCCTTGGGGAGTTTACAGTGTAATCGGCAGGGACAGACATGGACACACATCGCCCTAACATCACTTTATAGACCTGCAGCGGAGATGGCCGTAGGAGGCAACCAGACAGCAGAAGGCTGCAAATAGCCTGGCTCGGATAGCAGGGAGGCCTTTATAGGGGAGACGGCACTGGGGCTGCCTGAAAGGTAAATAAGAGATCCTCATGTAAAAAGAAGAACAGGAAGTGCCTTCTAAGGAAAGGAAGAGCAAGAGTGAAGAGGTGTATGTCTGGAAGTTGCTGGCGAATGGAATAAATGTGGACGGGTGGGGGGGTGTCGTGCCGTAGGGGAACAGGTGCCAAAGGGCTCAGGGCCGTATCGTATGCTAAGGAATTTGGACTTCATCCTGTGGATAATGGAGACACTGGTAAATTTCAAGCATGAGAGTAATATAAGAGTATAAGAGTAAGAATAAGAGTAACATAAGGACAGTGGTATAATTTAGTAAGACCAGTGCATCATAAAAATAGCATCAGTCAGGATGACATCAGGGAGGACTTTTTTTTTTTCTTCTTTGCTCTAAACTCAAAGAAGCCAAGGCCCCCTGGAGGAGAAGTGACAAGCCCAAGGCTAGAGGACGAACACTGTGAACCACACCCCGTACTCTTTCCTCTACCCCTGCCAGTCCAAGTCTTATCCTGACAGCGGAGGGCGGAGAAGGGTTTCTCTGGGCGTGCACACTACTCCCGTGCCCCTGTGATGGGAGCCGAGCAGACCATGACCCAGGGCCTGGAGCTAGAAAGACAACTCTGGGCTAAATGAATTCCCAGAAGCACTTTCACCTAAGACATTTCTCTTTGCCTCATCTGGGGCTGCCGGCCGTTTCAGCCGTGAATGCGTATGCGGGTAACCGTTTAACGACCCACTGTGTGAGAAGTGACTGTTCTCTGGATTGCATGTTCCTCTCACTCATGCTTCAGGGACACCCCCTCGTCCTACCCATCAGGGGTTTGCGGAATACGCTCGGCATTTCTCTCCTTCTGCTTCACAGTTGTGTTTCTACACAGCCCCCCCAAATCATTTTTTTTTAAATGAAGTGCCATCCTTTCAACCTGTCTTCATCAGGCAGCTAAAAAAGACTGTGTTCAGAAGAGCACTGTGGGAAAGAAGATGGTACCTCCAGCACAAGCCTTAAGGCAGGGACCCAGGAGGCAGTTAAAAGCTGGGCACTGTTAGGCAGGCCCCTCTACATATTCCCCACTCATCTCGGGCAAGTCCCTCAAACCGTCTTAAGGCTCTACTTCTTTCTTTTGTGAAATGGAGATGCTTTTAGTACCTACATCAGAAGGTTGTTGAGAGGGCTAAGTGAAGGAATCCCCGAAGACCGTCCAGAACAGCTCCTGGCACATGGCAAGCAAATAGTAAATGTTACCATTCTTATCTTTTAAAAGGATCTATTTATATCTCAGAGAGAAAGAGAGAGCAGGTGGGAGGGAGAGAGAGAATCCTCAAGAAGAGTGTCCGTTCCACACAGAGCCCGACGCAGGGCTCGATCCCAAGACCCTGAGATCATGACCTGAGCCAAAATCAGGAGTCAGACGCTTAACGGAATGAGCCACCCAGGTCCCCGAATTCATTCCTATATGTGATGATGATGATGGTGGTGGTGGTGGTGGTGAAGATGACGGTGATGATGAAATCCCTCCCGGGACTGACTTTTTTTAAGGCGCCAACAGAACCTTCAGGTTAGATGAACAATAGCTATGGGTATTTAATCAGAAGAAGAAAATACTCAGCAGGGCGTCTCAAGCTGTTTGCAGGACTTCACGAGATGCAGAGTTTAGAACTCCGTGTCCTCTTGAAGGTATGGTGGTGGGGTACGCTACTCAGGAAGGTGAATCCCTATCAGTCCACATGGAAGGTATTCTAACGGACAGAAGGAGTGCTAGGGCTTGGGTGCTGTGGGCTCCAAGACCGGGGTGAGCTTCACACCAGTGGGCAAGGGGTCCGCGTGAGGCTGAGCAACGGCTGGGGAGGGCTCACCGTGCAGGAGGGTGATGCAGACACCAAACGACAGGGCCAAGCACATCGAGCAGCAGAGTCCCTTCTCAGCTAAGACTCCGGTTCCTTCAGACTATGCATTATTGAGTCATTTTATCTGTATCACGGTTTTCGCTTCCAAAGCAAAAATTTATTTTTAGCTGATCCCAATCCCCTATAGGCATCTGAGTCTATGGATTGGGGTTAAGTTTCTGTTGGAACTCTATAGACTCTCCTCTCAGTCCTATTTTTCTAGCTTGCTCATCATTTTCTTTCTCCCTTTTGTAGGGGATAAAATATTCTATTCTTGGTCCCAGCCCAAAAGGAATTTGGGGAGAGCATTTTTAGAAAATTGCGTCAAATCATTTCTCCGTTTGGCAAGGATACAAAAGGCAGTATTACCTACCCCATTTAATGCAACTGAACACAGATGAAGTTTGGGGTTGGGGGGTTTCTGGGAGCAGCAGAAACATAAAACCGATTGCTCTTTAAAAATGGAAACTCAGATCATGCCGAGCTGTCTCTGAGGCAGAATCTCCTGGGCAATTTTGAAAGAGAATAATGAAGACGTAGCAATTAAAAAGCACTTTTCTGCAAAATGTCATTACTGTTTAAAGTTACATAACCATTTCTACGGCAGCGGAGGTTCACAGAGCAGTCACCGCCGGAGCGGTCTCCTGATGACCTGTGTCCAACAAAGAGGTCCATTGCTGACCTCCAAATTGGCGCCCGAGCCCTGCCGGCTTCAATGGGAGTCATAAATAACTTGGAGGGGGACTTGGCCTGTGGAGCCACTGTTTGAAAGATATACAGCTGCTGGCTGGGGAGGAATATTCTGGCCCCACAGTTCCCAAAGACACACAGAGGGTGGGGGGAGGAGGAGGAAGGGAGAGACGGTGAGAGAGAGAGAGGCCACCATTATTGCTGAGCATATAAATTTTGCCTCAAAAGACCCGGAAGGCAATAGCTGAGAGTTTCACATGAACACCAAGTCACTCGTGCTGAACATATGGGATATCTCCCCCTAATCTCATTATATTTAAAAAAAAAAATCTTGTTATACTTTAAATTGGAATGCTTCACTGTTCTGTGAAGTGAGTGGGCAACGTAGATGTGGGAACAACCACGTCATCTTCGTTCTCTTCTCCTGATTTTTGCCCCCTCTCCCTTAGTCTTCCTCCCACCTCACCTTCAACACAGACATCTCACAATCTTTTCCTGTATTTTACATACAGTCTTCGTGTGTGGAACAATGATTTCTCCTCTTTGTCGCACGGGAGGATATCTCTATCCCCTTCTCCTTTCCCTCCCTCCTCCCCTCCCCAAGGGAGGCTCTTGTCCTGCAATCAAGACCTTCCCAGATCACCCAAATTAAAATGCTTCTTTTATTTTCATCATAGGATTAGTTACTAATGGAAGTGATCTTATTAATTTGTTTTCATATTTTTTTTTCATCTTTCTCATTAGCGAATGGGCTTCAGGGGGACAGAGGCCTTGTCTGGTCCCCTCAGACTCCCCCTCAGAGTATAAATTAAAGCCAAGCCAGTAGAGGCTCCTGACACTCATTTGTTGGATTTTCACTCAACAGCTATTTTCCTTCTCACTCTGACTGGAAAAAAAGAAAAGAAAAGGGAAAAAAAAAAAAAGTGGTCCCTAGGCACTTGGAGGATGTTGGAATTGGCTCAAAGCTGGCCTGAAATCCCACCACCAACGTAACAGACTAAGACCTAACATCCAGGAATGGTGACTGGGTGTTGGAACACGTGAGGGCTCTTGCAGCTCAGTGGCAAGAAAGAGCAGGACCAGAGACACCTCCTGCCTCAGTGTCCCCATGGGGGCTCCAGTGCAGAGTGGCCTTGGTGGATGTCTTAGCCTCTCGGAAGTCCAGGCTCCCTGCCTGTCAGGTTCAAGCCCCGGGACGGCTGTGAGGCATATATGAGGTGGGGGGCATAAACAGCATTCAGCAAGAAGCTGGCTGCTACGGTCTGAACATTTGTGTTCTATGTCAACAGAAGCCCAAGCCCCCAGAGCAATGGTGTCAAGAGGCAGGGTCTCGGCAAGGGAGGAGTTTTACATCAGGTCACAAATGTGGGCCTCTGTGACAGGATTAATGATCTCGTAAGAAGAGTAAGAGACGGGAAAGTCTCTCTCTTGCCCTCTCCCTCCACGGACACACACGAAGGATAGGCCACGTGTGCACACAATGAGAACACAGCTGTCCACCAGCCGGGACTGTGTCTTCACCAGACCCCAAATTTGCTGGCATCATGATCTCAGAGCCTCCCGAACTGGAAAAGGAAG